AGAACATGGAGTGAAGAGGAGAAAAACGCAGCATGCATTTTGTTCCTCTGAACCCCCGAGATGCCGAGCTACCAGAAATGAGGGAGTAGCTCTTGTCCCGGCGTTCATCACTCCGGCACTCCACAACGCACAAGACAAACAAACGAAATGCAGCTTCAAAAAGAGAACAAAGAACAAACGGATGATAAGACCGTAAAAATCCACACGGAGACAGAAAGCGCGCGCCATAAATTTAACTCCACCTCCCTGCAGCGTCGCGTTCAATCCCTGGCGTACGCCCCTGCACACATGCCTCTGCAGTGCCCATGATCAGTAGCTTCCGGGACGCAACGATGCCCTGGCTAGCTGCTACGTACTATACTGCCGCTGCCGCCGCTGCTGCGACCTGCAAACTCTGCGTGCGTCGATCAGTCATCGAGTACATGCGTTGTTTTGGAGAATGGCCGAGGGAGGGTGGCAGTGGCAGGGGAGCCATATGCGCGGCAGGGGGAGGAAACAGTGGCGTGATCGGCATCAGCCAGCCACCATGGCAGGCGTGCGCAGGCAGGCAGGCCGAGCGAGCGAGCGAGAGCTCCCACTGATCGTCGACTCGCTGCGCGCAACAGAGCGACACTGCTTCGCTCGCCTGCCGGGCCGGGGCTGCCGCAGGACCTCTCTCGATCGTGGCGTCGGGCCGTCGACCAGTCTATGCGTTCCGACTTTCTCTGCATGCACCGGCACCGCTCGAGCAGTGGCGCTACTGCGCGAGCTATAGGTAGCGGGCTGCACCTGCACTGACAAGCAGCAAAAGGCTGAATCGATGGCGCCAAATCAAATCCACCTCAAAATTCTTTCCCCGTAGGGTTCACTCCTAGGACTTGCTGTCCAGAAAAATATCGAAGCAAATACAATCCGGCGTAAAAGTGAAACTAGCAGAGTCACCATAAGGCTCCAAGTCGCCATGATTTATTTTGAAGGTTGTGAGTGTTGGTTTGGAACGTGCGTCATTCGCCGACTGCTCGCACGGGAGGAAATTTCACCTCCCTCCTCAACTTCCCGTGCTGGCCGTGGCAATTTTGCCGCCAACTTTTCTCTTCTCCACGGCTATAAGAGCATCTAGTACAGCTGATATGACAAATATGATCCTTTGAACGCTTGCGGACGGCGCCGAACGCGTCTATAGGTAATGACCGGGCACTACTCAAATCAACACAACTATATCTAGACATCTCATATTAAATTCTTAAATCCATACAAAAACATGCAAACTTAAAAACCTACGTACTACGTAGCTACTCCTCGCCGAAGATGTCGACATCTCCGTGCCCGGCTCCGGGTACATGGGCGGCAGCTGCAGCTCCGGCCTCCTCCTCCTCTATCTTCGCGTCGAGTTCGGCGAAGAGCGCGTCGGACGTCGCCTGCTCCTGCCGGAGGAACTGCTGGTTGGCCTCCACATAGGCATCATCCTGGATAGACTACAGGATGGCCTGCTGCTCCACCATCTCCGCGGCTTGGGCGACGGCGAACTCCACCTCTG